ACCCCGATGATGGCACTATCATGCTTATGCATTGAGGGGTAATCGATCGCTGAAGAATGAGCCGAGCAAAATGAAAACCGAACACCTGAGAAGGTGTCGAGCAAAAGGGCGAGGGCGAAGTAGCAGGAGATGAAACATCTCCATGTCAAGTATCTGGTGTTGGGGATGGGTACTTCGTCATTCGTGGAACGGAGAGAGTAATTATTGCATAGGAGGACAAATCGACCGACAGAATTGTCAGTCGCTCCTCCGAATAGATGTATGCGGTAAGACAATATGGTCGAACCGGGAGTTCAAACATCGACCAGGAGCCAGATCACTTGTTGATCTACATGGTACCAGCGGTATTTATTTGTAAAAGTTGTGCGCGACGGATCTCCCGTCTTCGGACGGCAGTACAACTGCCTCATCGGTCATGTAGGCAGGAAGTGATAACCTTGGCAGACCATCTCATCAAGTTGAAATGTTGTTTATGTATTTTATTCATTTTATGAACAGGAGATTATTAAGGGACTAGGATTATATGTTGGGTTTCACGTTTGGTCGAGGTCGTCCTAGTCGACCGACGCTCGTTCGTACCGAGGAGATCAGCGCCCTCGGAAACGGACAACGTTCGGATCCACTTGGCGTTAACCAAGCGTACCTATACTCCAGCGAGCGAGCAAACGCCCTTGACTGACCTACCTCTGCAATTGCATGTAAAAGCTTTCACACGTGGGTCGGTAGCTCGGTAGGGATATGCCCCTGAGGGTGGTGACAGCCCCACAGGGAAAGCAAGTTGTGCCCCGCGAAAACCTATCATGTCGTAGGGGACGGCGGGATGTATAGCTGGCGCACCCGGCTAGAGCGGCAAAGGGACAATGCGACCTCGTCCGTCTCGGCGGTTCGAGGGATTATTTATGTATCGTCCTAAGTTGTCTCTTGATTGTGTTTTGTTCTAACTCTTGCGTGACATAGCCGGGAGGGTCCTCGTTCACGCGAGGGCCGATGCATGCGACAGGTGGCGCCGTTGCCGGGGATGACGGCAAATTACCGTTCTCCTTGGTGGAACGACACTCGGAAAAAGGATGGTCATAGTGATTTTAAGTGTTGTATGTTGTTTGTTTGGATTGAAAGTAGTCAGTGGTTATCAATGTTTGGAGAAAGAAAAGAAGGCAAGGTTTGGAGTGAATTGTTGGAATCTATTTGACACTTGGACGTGTGGGTTTGTCGTGTTGATTCTCTCAAGACGACGGGAGGAAGTGCTGATCCCGCAAATAGTAATGCAGGAGATCGTCGCAACGACATCTTGAAACTCGCGCGAGCCATTCGGAAAGCCAACAGTCAGAAGGCGCAACTGCCGAAAGTTCAAGTTCTCCTCTTCGATGGCACCAATGCCTCAGCATGGGTGGACAAGTTAGAGCAATTGGGCAGTTGTTGTGAATGGACGAATGAGAAGATGCTTCAAATGGTGAAGCGATATTGTATGGTCAAGTATAAAGAAGAGGTGTCGGAGTTGGTGCACGCCTCGCGCGACTGGCCGGACTTCAAAGCCAAGTTATTGGACAAGTACCAATTGGAGGATCAACTGCTCGACCTGGCAGACTTACGGAAAGTTAGTCGTCGGAAATTTGGTACGGCCAAGCAGTTTCTCACAGAATTTAAACGAGTCGCGCGCTTAGTGCCTGATCTTCCTGATAAGGATCCGTGTCTCATCTTCCTCGAAAACTTTTCAGAAGTTGAGCAGCGGGAATTGATGAAGGATATGACTGGTCGATACGACTGGCCAAAGATCAAGGAGAATTTGTTGGCGGGAAGCTTCGACCAGATGCTTTACCGTCTCCTGACGCAGCAAAAAGAGGACCGCGAGAAGGAAGGGGTAAGCGTGGACAAGGACCAAGCCGTTTACAAGACCTTGACAAACATGCGAAACATGATGGCTGACATGAAGGAGGAAAGGTTAAAGCTACAATTGATGATGGTCCAGACGAAAGGAGGGAAAAGGAAGGGGAAAGCACCCGTTGTGGAGGAGGTAAGTAATAGCAGCAGTGAAGAGGAAGACGAAGAGGAAGTGGAGCCCCGTCGAAAATTGACTAAAGCGGAACGGAAGGCCTTGAACGAGATACGAGGAGGGCAGGGCACTAGTAAAAAGCAGCGCAAGAATAATGGAGGAGGTGGATAAGGAGGTAATCAGGAACAGGCGGCGCAGACCCCTCCTCAGCAACCCCAACCTCAGGCAGGAGGCCGAGGCCGAGGTCGAGGTAGAGGACAAGGTACTGGGGAAAACGACAAGGTTATATATATGAATATCCGAGGTGAGGTCTACGACTTCGAAGGGAATCTCATCGATCCCAATGTAGAAGGAGGAATAAGAAAGGAAGCCTTCCGACGTATGGGGCGAGATCTTCCAACAACTTTTCGACTGGCTTCCCCGGAAGAAGTCGAACAGATCGAGTTGGAAGCGGCGATGGAGTCAGTGATGATTGAAGATGCCAAGGTCGCAGATGAAAGGTTGAGCAAAGAGCAGGAAGAGATACTGCAACGAGCTCAGACAGTGGTCAGAAAAATGACTCGATGCAGGGAAGCTTTCGTTCAAGTATGTGCTGACATGAATGAAGAGTGGCCCGGGCTTCCCCAAGTTTTTCTGTTCGTGGGATGGGACAGAGATGGCCAAGGAGGTCTTACTGATGTTACTGCATCACAGCCTGGATCGTCGTCGGCAGGGCGTTTAATGGCCACCACGGTCTTGTCCCGTCTTGCTTTCAAGCGACCTGCCACCGCTGGCCTCCCACAAGCTCGGAGGGCTCGAAGGCCGCCGCGGCCAAGGGCAGCGTCAGAAGAAGGGTCAAGTCAGCCTCGGGAAAGCGAGACAATTGCGATTGAGGAAGACGATGGCGAGGAGGACGAATTGTTGTGGGCCGAGGATGAGCGGCAGGCCAAACAACGGGCCATGGAGAGGGGACCAGAAACGGGCAAGGCCGATGTTGAGGAAGGAGAGCTGAAAAAGAAGAAGCAAGTCTATACAATTCCAGTAGAGCAAGGGCTGGATATTGAGCAAATCGTGGACCGGATTTTGGAAAGCCAGTGCGATTTGTTCACGCTCAAGGAATTCTTGGCCGCGTCGCCCAAAATCCGAGAGGATTTCAGACACCGACTGTCAAGGAAAAATGTTATGACAGTTAAGATAAGTGATATATTTCCTCAAGAGATTAGTTGGGCTCCGCCTGGGACAAAAATGGACTGACACTGTGTAGCAACTGGGTTGTTGAAGGTGCAAGTTGGGCCGTGCGAATACTCGGCGCTCAACGACGATGGAGCTGAGATGAACATCATACGTGAGAGAGAAGCCCTGGGGGCAGGTGAAGGCGGGACTGGTAGGATGTATCTTACTTATCGGCCCGACAGGTCTTCGGAAGGTGATATATTGACGAAGCCAGCAGCCAAGCAAGGGTCTTTTTTAGAGGTGGACGACTTGGAGTTGGAGCGAAACGTAAGTACAAGAGAGTAGGCGAGAAAGCTCGGCCAGTGCCCGTCTTGATCACACAAAAAGAAGAAGTGTATTATAAAGAAGAAAGAGAATGGATCAGGATGAGGAAGGAAAAGAGTATGAAGGCGCCATGTCGGTTGCGGAGGAGAGGATTAAGAATATGATCATTGGAGAGGAAGGGTCTCTTACTGAGAAGGAGGTGGACTTCCTTGTCAGCGTCATGAAGAAAACCCACTTGGCTTAGGCCTTTGATGATGATGAGCGAGGGAGGCTTGACGTTGACATGATTCCAATGATCAGGATTCATACGGTACCTCACGAGCCGTGGAATATATGAGGCCCGCGTTATCCAAATCCGGATGATCATCGTAGAGTTGTCGAATATCTGGACGGTAAAATTCGGACAAAGGTCGCGGATTACTCGTATGGATCATATGCGTCCCCTTGGTTTTGTTGCATTAAGCCAAGTGGTGTATTGCGATGGGTGCAGAACTTGCAGAAGCTGAACTCAGTGACGGTTCGTGACGCCGGAGGACTTCCACATGCTGATCAACTGTCTGAGTCGTGCGCAGGCAGACCTATCATCACTCTCATTGACTTGTACTCAAGATACGATCAATTCCCTCTCTATACGGCAGACAGGCCGATGACGGCCATGCATACGCCGAGGGGATTAATTCATATGTGTGCGGCGCCTCAAGGATGGACGAACACCGTAGCGATTGTTCAGAGCTATATGATGAGAGTCATGCAGCCGCTTTGTCCGGACGTGACCTCACCTTATATCGATGACTTAGCCATTCATGGGTCACGTGTCAAGGACGAGATGGAGGTGCTGCCAGGCGTTCGAAAGTTTGTTTGGGAGCACGTTCGTAACGTGGAGAAGGTTTTGTCCACGTTAAAAGAGTACAACCTCACCGCCAGCGGTGTCAAATCTCGGCATCGTATGCGTGAGGCGACTATCTTTGGCTTCTTGTGCGATGAGAAGGGTCGTCGGCCAGATTCCAAGAAGACAAACAAGATTTTGGAATGGCCGACTCCGCTTAAGTCCATCACTGATGTGTGCAGTTTCTTGGGGACTTGAGGATTCTGGCGTATCTTCATTCGCAGGTTCGCTGCAAGGGTGGAACACCTACGAAAGTTGGTGCGTAAAAATCAAGAATGGGAATGGGGTCCAAAGCAGCAGGCGGCTGTCGACGTCATCAAGGCACAATTCCGAGAAGGAGGATTGATCCTGGGGGTTCTGTGCTTTGACAATGACCCAAATCGGCTCTTTGTAATTGAAACGGATGCAGGCCCCACAGCATTGGGTGGTGTCCTCATCCAAAAGGATGGAGAAGGGCGAGAAAGGCCATTGAGATTTGAGAGTCGAACGCTGAATGAGGCGGAAAGGAAATATTCCCAATTTAAGAAGGAAGCCCTTGCAGTGCTTCATTGTTTCAAAATTTTCCGAAACTACGTGTTTGGGAGACGGATCGTCCTGCGGGTTGATCCGACTGCCCTGGCACAGTCACTGAAGAATTATTATCCCTCGGATCCAACTATTGCTCGATGGTTGATCTATATCTGGATGTTCGATTTCGAGATCGAGCGTATTGCGGGAACGCAAAATCGAGCCGATGGATTGAGTCGGATCGAGTGGGACTCCTCGAAAGATCGGGCAGAAGACTCTGTTCCTATGGATGGATTTCTAGAAACAGACGAGCAGCAGTTGAGTATCAATGTTTGGGAGTATATTAACAATGCTTCGTCCCGACCTGGGAAGTCTATCTGGAGTTCTCCGAGTTGTTATCAGAAGCGTTCAGAACTTGTGATGAGAGAGTCCTTTATTGAGGAGGATCCCTGGGGCGAACGGTCCGCGGAACAAATGATGAGGTTGGTATTGTCTGATCCAGTACAACTTTCGAAAGAACCCCTTACGATTGAAGGGGGGCATGAGCAAGGCGATGAAGTCCTCAGGATTTCTGGAGGAATGGTATTTCTCGTTAATTCATTGATACAGGAAGATCACGGTAAGCTAATGTTGGAAGAAGGGGAAGGCAGTGAGATTAAAGAAGTCTTTCGTGAGAAGGAATATGATGGGATCTATAAGAAGATTGGGCTTTGGCTAAATGGGGATTTGAACGAGGCTGAGATAGAGCCAGAAATAAGAGAGAAGGCAAAGGACTTTGTCATTCGACAGGGGCATCTTTTCAAGAAGTCTGACGATGGAATGCCTAAGAGAGTGGTGTGGGGGGTTCCCAGACAGTTGGATGTGCTTGCGGCTCTACATGATGGAGTGGCAGGTGGGCATCGGTCCACATGATTGAGTTTAAGAAAGATCCAACATCTCTATTTTTGGGATGGTATGGGTAAGATGGTGGCAGAGTTCTGCAACTCGTGCGTTCTCTGTCAGAAACGTTCAAATCTTCGTTATGTCGAGCCTCTCAATCCACGGTATATGGGTGAGCCAGGGGCGGTTGTGCACCTCGACCTGGTCGTTATGCCACCCGGGCTTAATGGGTACAGATACATTTTTGACGCGAGAGATAATCTTACCAGGTTTGTTGATGGGCGTGCAATCCGTGAACGAACCGGGAAGATTCTGGCAGGATGTATCGAAGAGTTTTACCTTCGGTATCCATTTGTTCGGGAATATGTGATAGATCGAGGTGGTGAATTTCGAGCAGAAGAGGTTCATGCTCTTATGAAAAGACWGGGAGTGAACTATAGTTATACTACTAGAGCACACCCCCAGGCTAATGCTTCGGTTGAACGTGGTCACGCCACCTTGACTAACTTGCTAGCAAAATGGTGTGCCGGCAAGCCGTCAACATGGCCCGTCTATCTCAAAGCTGCCATATTTGTTGAAAATATAACCGTAAAACGGACTACTGGGTATGCTCCTGTTACGTTATGGTTTGGACGACATGCTACATTTCCGATCGAGAGTTTCCTGACCACATGGCAAAAACAGGATATGAAAGTCAGGCTTTCTACAGAAGAATTGTTGGACCTGAGGGCCAGACAAATAAAAGTTATTGAGGAAAGAGTTGTAAAGGCCGCTGCGTCAACTACGGATAAGCAACCCCGGGTTAGGAAGAAACCATTGGAAGTGGGGGATATTGTCCTCCTCTATGACTCTTCTCTTGAAAAGCAGTAGTCGAGGAAATTAGATAATTGATGGATGGGGCCATATCGTATCATTAAGAAAACGGAGCATGAAGCATACGAGATTGAGGAGATGGATGGAGCACGTGAGCGAGATTGGGTTTCAGACTCACGCTTGAAGAAATTTGTTCACAGGGACTAAATAATGCCTTACTTTTCTTAACAGACATTGATACCACTGACTAACTTGATTTTATGATTAAGTATTTGTAAGATATATTTTCCATGTAATGGACAGGCACATATAAACTTGTAATGAATTACTTGTTGACGTCATTTTTGTCATTATTCTTCGTTCTCGAGCAAGATAATTGATTTGCATAATGATTTATCAAATCTTGTACAAATGATTCTTTGAGCATGCATCTCTTTTATTTCTTATGTTGAATGTGTTTTGCTTGTGAAGGATGGGTGTGGATCATTTGCGCAAAGTTATGACTTAGCGTGTAACATGTGGCTTCTTGAACGATAAGTATTCGTTCTGTAGGCACATGGTTTAATAAATATAATAAGTTCATATGTAATACCTAGTCTTTATTGTGTCTTGATGTTCCTGAAAGATGTGAGCCTTGTAGGTGGTAGTGGACTCGTGCCGGAATTTGGTTCCTAGTCCACAACGAGATGATGTCATTTTCCTTGAAAAAGGGCGATGGCTACACTATCACCGAAAAGGAGGATGGTGTCGTAATCCTGTTGAGACCTCGCCTATGGTGGGGAGCGATCGCTGCTTATCACAGGGGTAGGGTTGGTCGTCTATCCTTGTGATATCCAAGGTCGCCGAGTCCTTATGATCCTCGTCTGACCAACTTGAACTATATGGACGGGGTTGTCTCRCCSTGTAGACGTGGCRTTAACAGAGTTGCGAYACTGGAATCGGAGGGAATRTGGTGAGGCCCGGATCTAAAGCGGGGCTTGATGTCGGGATGTTATCCTTTGCGGAGGATTACACCACTCCTCGACGCAGTCACATAGAATTCGGGGATACTAAGACATAAAAATCCTAGGTATTTATAAAATTGCACAATCGGATGGGTTATGAAACTCGGGTAAAAGACTTAAATAATGGGTTCTTGCATTGGATAGCTAGTTCAGATTATGTCTGAACGATTATCATAGGTTGGGTTATGGAGACCTGTAAGGGGTTATTCCTGGCTCATTCTGGGAATTAGCTGAAGGTTAATACGGATCTTCCAGAAGGGACGATGGAAAACCGGAGCCTTGCTATTATTTTCCCCGACAACCGTGACTGTAGTATAGTACGAGTATCCTTGTATTACGTGGGAGGTCCAGGTTAAACTCCTGGCAACACGTGAGTGTGTTGAAGTGTTGTGGATGCATCCCCATGGACATGAGAGACCCGGGTTAAATTCCCGACAGTGATGGTTGCTTGCCCAGATGATTGAAATATTGATTTCCAACCGAATGAATTTTGTTAGCCAGAACCATGAAAACTAAGTCCTTTGAATTTTGGGCTTCCAGGGGCTGAATCTGGGCCTGAGTTTCGAATTTTGGGTTTCCAGGGGCTGAATCTCGTACCAACTCGATGAGTGCAGAATCATTGTGAATTTTGGCTTCGAGGGCATAACTCGTTTAATAGTAAGGAGTCCGTTTTTTCGGATATCCGCTTGTTAAAGTATCTGTGGTTTTATTAAGATTGAAAGATACTAAAAGAGGTATCTGTAAAATTTTATATTGAGAGCATCGACCACGTGAACGACGTGGAAGTCGTTCAATGGGGGTCGGGAATGCGGTCAGGGAGAAACCCTGACAAGGGTATCTGACCGTGTTTTTCAATGTCGGACGTTGTCTGACCTTTTCACCTAATTGGAAGACTTGATGAGATTGACGTTGCCAAAGTTTATTCAGACCAGCGCTATGACTGAGAGACTTAAACTTTTTTGAACCTGACGTCGTCGACGCAGGACGACATCGACAACGGGAGTCGGCACTGTCGTCCGCGGGTTTCGACGAGACCGCAGTAGTGTGCAGTCATGGAAAAACTAAAGTTAAAGTCGCTGCGGCAAGATGGACCGCGGTGTGAAGGGATCGCTTAGGGTCCATACGGCTTTTGCGCCGAGGACCCGAGGGCGAAGGCGTCGAGGCCGGTTAAGTAGGGCAGCTGTTAAAGTTATCGGTCGCCGACCCCGCTCGCCTGCCATGGCAGCAAACTGGCTTTGCAGGCGTAGCCTGCTAGGCGCTAGGAAGGGGTTTGTTGGGCACCAAGCGCCCTTCATATAGAAGGGCCGCTCCTTTTCTGATGTGAAAAGGAGCTAGCCCAGTAGGTATCGCCATATTACTACCCCGCAGACATGGGGATCGAATCCGACAACCTGCACTACCGGGCTAGCTCCTTTTGGAGCAGGCCGCGATTTGACAAAGGGTGCGGCCGATTTTCGGTTGTGCGATCTTCGGGATCGCGCAACTGAAATCAGCGGCGCCGGGGTGATATGGCCCCTGCACGAGGATGACACGCATAGGCCGAGAAATGGTCCGAAGTTTTTCTTTTTGGAAAAAAAAAAA